CCTGTGATGCGACTGGTCTAAAGAGTTTATCTTCGACGACTCAAAGGATAGGAAAACATGGCTGACGAAGAGCTGAAAAAGAAGAAGAAAATCCGTGGAGGTCATAAAGGCTACGTGACAACAACTCTGGAAAAGGTGCAAGCCTTACTCAACGACTTTGAACTCTCTGCGGCAAATCAAGTGAAAACGTATCGGATTGCTCTAACCGAAAAACTGGACATTCTTGGTGTCTTAGACGACGAAATTCTGACCTTAATTACGGAAGAACAAATCGAAGACGAAATCAGCGAAACTGGAATCTTCAGAGAATCTATTCATCAGATGATAGTGCAAATTGACGAGGCTCTAAACGCAGTAGAAGTGGAAAACTCTGGATACACAGATAAGTCAATTTCTCATTATCCTTCTAACTAACTCTAACTCGTTTACCGAAGGCCTAGGAGCCGGGAAGGCAAAACTGCCCAAGATTATTCTTAAGAAATTTCATGGTGATCCTATTTCTTTCACTCCATTCTGGGATTCATTCAGAAGTGCTGTCGATGACAATCCTGGTTTGTCAGATGTTGATAAATTTAATTACTTGAGAAATTTACTGGAAAGATCTGCAGCAGGAGCTATTCGAAAGCTACCGCTGACAGCAGAAAACTATGGAGCAGCCAAAGAAATTTTAAAGAAACGTTTTGGGCTGCCCCAGATAATCATTAATGCTCATATGGAGGGTTTAGTGAAGGTAGCACCAGTAACAGTTGACAATGACTTGAAACGCCTGCGCTTCCTTTATGATCGAGTCGAGGCCCACGTTCGAGCCCTCCAAACCCTGGGGATACAATGTGAGTCGTATGGGGAAACTCTTGGTTCCCCTTCTTATGGAAAAACGACCCCCAAGCATGCATCTAATAATCTCGAGAGCTATAGGTCAACCCAAATGGGACTTGGATGTTCTGTTAAAGGCCGTTGACTCTGAAATCGAGGCAAGGGAACGCTGCGAGCCTACTGGAACAGACCCGTTTGATTCTTTCACTCCCAAGAGACCACTCTCAAGTCAAACGAATAAGGATAAAGATGTCCCGACCGGCGGAACGTTAACTAATCAGTCTGAGCAACCTGTCAGCTGCACATTCTGTAAACAGAGTCACCCAAGCGCAAGTTGTGGTACAGTTACCGATATCAGCACAAGAAGAAATCTATTAAAACAACAGGGTCGTTGCTTTGTTTGTCTGCGGCGCAACCACTTGGCGAAAAAGTGCTCACCGAACAAAGTGTGTCGTATTTGCTTAGGAAAACATCATATGTCAATCTGTGAAAATGCCAACCGAGGCAGTGGTACCTCAGAAATCCAATCTCGAGGAAGCAGTGAGGTGGCGTCTGACGGAGGATAACGCAGATCTAATGAGAACAAGTCCTCTACAACCGTGTATGTGGACTCGAACACGTCAATCCTGTTACAAACGGCCATTGCTCAAGTCTCGAGGGTTTATCAATTGCATCCTGTGGTGAATATGCGCATCTTATTCGACAGTGGCAGCCAGAGAAGTTACATATCAGAACGCGCAAAGGCGAAACTAAATTTACTCTCCAAGAGAAAAGAGAAGCTACTTATCAAGACGTTTGGTCAAGAGAATGGCCAATTAAAGGAATGCGACGTCGTCGAGTTCTGTGTCAGTGGACTGAGTGAAAGCTCAAAGGTTCAGATGACTGCCCTTGCAGTCCCTCTCATTTGCAGTCCGTTAACGGATCAAGCCGTGCAATTTGCACAACAGNTGTTTCAGTGGAACCACCTATGACGTCATCACTTTCCTCACAAAAACGTTAATATCTCTAAAACGAAAAAAGATATTCCAAAAAGGAAAACGCCATTCTTCTTTACTTTGAAAACCCTTTCAGACAGGCAGCAATTATTTTTTACTTCATAGGCACTTTAAAGGCCTTTGACTCTGAAATCGAAGCAAGGGAACGCTGCGAGCCTATTGGAACAAACTCGTCTGATTCTTTCACTCCCAAGAGACCACTCTCAAGTCAAACGAATAAGGGTAAAGATGTCCGGACCGGCACAACGCTAACTAATCAGTCTGAGCAACCTGTCAGCTGCACATTCTGTAAGCAGTCACCCAAGCGCAAGTTGTGGTACAGTTACCGATATCAGCGCAAGAAGAAATCTTTTAAAACAACAGGGTCGTTGCTTTGTTCGTTTACGGCGCAACCACTTGGCGAAAAATTGCTCACCGAACAAGGTGTGCCGTATTTGCTCAGGAAAACATCATATGTCAGTCTGTGAAAATGCCAACCGTGGCAGTGGTACCTCGGAAATCCAATCTCGAGGAAGCAGTATGGTGGCGTCTGATGGAGGAGAACGCAGATCTAATGAGAACAAGTCCTCTACAACCGTTTATCTGGACTCGAACACGTCAATCCTGTTACAAACTGCCATTGCTCAAGTCTCGAGGGTTCATCAGTTGCATCCTGTGGTGAAAATGAGCATCTTATTCGAGAGTGGCAGCCAGAGAAGTTACATATCAGAACGCGCAAAGGCGAAACTAAATTTACTCCCCAAGAAAGAGAAGCTACTTATCAAGACGTTTGGTCAAGAGAATGAGCAATTAAAGGAATGTGATGTCGTCGAGTTCTGTGTCAGTGGACTGAGTGAAAGCTCAAAGGTTCAGATGACTGCCCTTGCAGTCCCTCTCATTTGCAGTCCGTTAAAGGATCAAGCTGTGCAATTTGCACAACAGTCTTACAGTCATTTGGCTGACCTGGAACTCGCAGATCACCCAACCGAAGACTGTGGTTCAGAAGTAGATCTATTGATTGGAAACGATTTCTACTGGTCTTTCTTTACTAGAGACATGAAACGGGGGATATCAGGACCCGTGCCGATGAAAAGGAGTCTTGGATGGGTGTTGCCTGGACTCATGCCCCACGCACCTGGTTCGGGTTCTGATGTTAATCTGGTGACATGCCACACCCTGAGGCTTAACACTTCTAGCTGTGATGACCTAAATATCAGTCTAAAGGATGAAGACCCCCTAGTAGAACAAGTAAAGAAGTTCTGGGAGTTAAAAAGTATCGGTGTGTCACTACACGAGGGGACAGCACACGACAAGCTCTTGGACACCATTCGCTGGTGCGATGATCGTTATGAAGTCTCTCTACCTTGGAAGGAACAACACACACTGTTACCGGACAACTATGCATTAGCAGTCTCACGCCTGGCCTCTGTTCTAAAGCATCTGAGAGGAAACCCTGAACTATTCGCGGAGTACAGTCGCATTATTGACGAGCAATCGTCGCAAGAAATAATCTCTGATGCAGATCCCAACGCGCCAGTCCAGCTTGGTCGCCTTCATTACTTGGCACATCATCCAGTCGTACGTGAGGACAAGCAGAGAACCAAAGTAAGAATAGCCTATGATGCATCTGCCAAGTCTACTGGTCCATCGTTGAACGACTGTATACAGGCTGGTCCTTCACTAACATCTGAAATACCTGACGTCTTAATGCAATTCAGGTACCACCAAGTTTCCTTGGTCGCCGACATTGAAAAGGCCTTCCTGATGGTTCAAGTCGCGAAAGCTGACCGAGACGTTTTCCGATTTCTGTGGATAAATGATCCCACTAGCGAAGATCCTAACACTGCTGTAAAATGTTTCAAACGTGTTGTGTTTGGAGTCACCAGTTCTCCCTTTCTGCTGAACGGGACAGTTAGACACCACGTGTCTAATTATGAAGCCGAGGATCCGCAGTTTGTTGACGATTTTCTGAGTTCGCTCTACGTAGATGACTTCGATGGGGGGAAAGACAGTTCCGGAGGCTTTCCAGCTCTACACAAAGGCCAAGTCTAGAATGAAGGAGGGAGGTTTCAATCTGAGAAAATGGATTTCAAACTCCGAGAAACTGATGTAGTGGATTGACCAAGAAGGAGTGCCTATCATGGAGGCTTCTACGTTATCTGAAGAAGATAAAACGTACACACAAACTCAGCTTGGAGTAAACAATTCCACCATTTCATGCGAGAGGAAGATTCTGGGTCTAAATTGGGACATTACGAAGGACA